TGTATATATATATTTATATTTTCACTTATTTACTTATTCGACCATTCATTCATCCACTCATTCGTTCATTCATTCATTCATCCATTCATCCATCCATCCGTCCATTTATTCATTCATTCAATCACTCACTGTCCACCCATTCATCCACCCACTCATCGATTTAGCCATCCATTTACTTGTAATGAATTCTATACATAAGGCGAGGAGTTTGGAGCGTCGCCTAGTCGCTAAAGCAGGTTTTGAGCTGCTAAAATTACTGCATTAAACTGGCGCAATGCCAAAGAGGCGGCTCAAATACGAAAAATCTTCATCACATAATACTTTTTATTTGTTCTTCCTCTTTTTTTTCCTTTTTTTTTTTTTTTCGCGTGTGTTTGTGTGTGTTTTAAAATTCTATTTTTTGCCATCTTAAGAAACAGAACTGTATTAGTTTTTTCTGTTTTTGATGTTGTTTTAAAAAATTGTTGAACATTCATGTTTAATACCTTCTGACAGACAAATATCGGTACTTTTCTTTTTGTTTCCAATTTACTATTTTACTGGTGACTGACTGGATTTGACCAATTTTTTTTTTTGCAGTAGTTTTTTGGTTTAGTTTTTGATTGTTATTATTTTGCCACTTGTGTTTTTTTGAATAGAGGAGGACAGTTTCTTCCTTTTTGTTTTTTGAATTTATCCAGCCGCTTCTTTCAGAATAAATACAGTTTAATCAAATTTTTTCCATTTTTTTTTTACTTTTTAAAGTTGATTTTCTTTTTTTTTTCTTGCATCTAGCCTGTTTACATTTACATTTGACCAAAAAAACCCATTTTTTTCAATGGTGCGGTTTTTAATTTTAGATGTCATCTTTACAAAAAAGAGGCTGAAAGAAGTTTTTAATGAAATACAGTTTTAACTCGGCGTTTTTTCTTTAAAAAATTTTTTTTTCTCCGATTTATTTAATTTATTTCTCGGTGTGGCTTAAGCGAATAAAGTCTAATTTCAGACTCTTGCTACAAAAGTGTCACAGGAAATTGTAATTTGCCATCTGAATAACAATTTGGCTGGATTAATGCATGCTCGGGAAGGCATTCTTGTCAACGACGGTACTTCTATAATTTGTTATTTTGTACTTTAAAAAAAAAAGTGGAAGAAGCACTTTGTTTTTTGTTTCTGTTTTTTTCTTTCTTTTGTAATTTTTCAAGTTTTTCAAATTGAAGAATTCTTATTTGATGGTATTTTCACTATATGATCAGCATTCAGCCAACAGTGTTGATGATGATCTTGTTGACTCCACTCGTAAGGATGTAAATGCATCTACTCCTGGAACTTCGCATGCTCATCACGTGGGAGACAGATTTGAAGATACTTGCTTATTTGATTCGGGATCGCGAGAATCTGATTGGAAGCCTGCGTCTGCTAGCATTAAAATTGTTGAAACTATGGCAAATCAAGGTATATCTCCAGTTGCTTCTGCATGCTAACTTCCTCTGTTATTTCTAGTTGTTATTAGAAATGCATTTAAAAATTTCAGCTTGATCAGGCTTTAACTGTTTGAAGCTATATTATCAAAGGTTATTGAGGGAATAGTTTAGTATTAGGACATTATTGGAAGATTCTGCAGTACGGTTTGAATAAAGTTAGTAAAAGGGTTATGTGTCTTCATCTTCTTATTGACTTGATTTTTGATTTTTTTCAACTTGATATTTCTTTGGTTTCTTTTTTCAGGAGCTTCTCCTCGAGAGATGCTTCGAACTTTATTACCTAATTTAACTCTTCCTGACGATATATCGGAAGACGATATATTTCGAATTATACACCAGATAATATCCAGCGATCGACCTAGGAGAGAGAAGCTTGTGGAGTACAACACGTTTGAGGATGCCATAGAGCTTTTTAGAAGGTCAGGAAATCTCTTCAGTTTCCTAGTTTTTTGGAATGTGGTTCGCACTCTCGGATTTGTCGCATTTTTTCAAATTTTTTTAAATGGCTTTTTTGTCTCTAGATGAGCTAGCCATATAACACTTGAAACTTCAGAAGCAGACGTATACTGGTGCTTACTGGAGCAGGTGTTTCTGTTTCTTGTGGGATACCTGATTTTCGTAGCAAAGATGGAATTTATGCCCGGCTTCGTGTTGAATATCCAGACTTACCCGATCCTACTGCTATGTTTGACATCAGTTATTTTGCGCGCGATCCTAAACCATTCTTCGAATTTGCAAGAGTACTTTTTTTTTAATGTTTTAGTGCACTCATTGTTTTTTAAGTCGTACACTTTATGTGGGGAGGATTGTTGTAGGAAATATTCCCGGGACAGTTTGAAGCTTCGATATCTCATTACTTTATCAAAGCCCTTGAGATGGAAGATAAGTTACTGAGAAATTACACCCAAAACATCGACACTTTGGAACAGGTTGCTGGAATAAATCGCGTAGTGCAATGTCACGGTAAGTTACACACATGAATTTGTCTACTCAATGCATTTTTTTTTCTGGTAAAAGAAAGAGGCCGTTAGGTTTGACGATTCGGCGCATTATTACTTTTCAATCAATCTGATATGCAGAAGTAGGATTCGGGAATGTATTAACTGAGCTGTTAAGCTTTTATCAAGTAACAGTTGTCACGGTTTTCTTATGACTTCAATAGTTTGCTGAACTTCTCATTTTGAAATAATCATTTTCTGAACACTTCTTGTGTTGCAGTGAGAGGCGTATTCTGGTTAATTTGTTGTTTGTTTATTGATTTTTTAATTCATTAGCCACCTATGAGCTTTTCTAATGTTTTAAATTATATAGGAGCAGCCGTGTTGTATTATTTGGGACTTTACTAGGAGCCAAGAAAGATTTGAAGGGTGTAGATCCGTTGGAAGTATAGTGGTTTCGCGGGTTTTTTTGAAAGAATATGTTGGAGGGAAGTTTTACATATTATAGGTTTGTGATTACACCGGTTTCTCGTTGTTTACTTCTTTTTAATTCTTTATTTATGAGAACCTGTAGTTTTCGGAGTCGGCTGCAAGTCACTTCCAGATTAGTTCTGTCACTTTTTGTAGGAACGACTATGCTTTAGAGTTGGCTGATGCATTATGTGTGTATGTGTTGTTGCGCTTTGCCTTTCCTTGCGTAGACAATTGAGGATTTCCACTCGATTATCGATTTGTGTATGACCTTTTCGGGTTTTGGTGAAAAGAGTGTGAACTATAGTTTAGACAGCGCACTTCTTTTTTACCTGAGGCTAGGTTGGTAAATACGGTTTTATTTATGGATCAGACATTAGAAAAAGGTGTGATGTAATGATTAAATAAACGGGTTGTGTGGATTTAGAATATAAAAGAAAAATTAGAGAGAGAAGTACACTTTAACTTCTGATTTTAGGATTATTGCAGAGCAAAGGTGGTCCTTCTTTCTCCTCGATGGCTGCGCATGACTGGGTTTATTGCTTATAGCAGCTTTTTGATGGTCTTGAATTAAATGTTATTGGTGTGAAAATTAATGAACTGCGGTTTGTAATATTTAAATTAAGAGGAAGAGAGAAGTATTTTTTCGAAATTAAGCGAAGCTAATTTAGTGATCTCAAGGAAGAAGATATAGATATGGGTGTTTGTTTTATTGAATATTATTTGAAAAATCTGTCTGTGGGCGGTTTCCGTGGCTTGTTGAATTTTCTTTTGGAACTTCCAAGTATGATTTACATCGGGTGTTTTGCAAGGAAAAGATGAATTTTAAAGTTGAAAGAAAGTCGGAACAACTTAAAAATACAGTCTGAAGGTTTTTGAAGAAGCTGTAATTAATTTTTTAGAGAGGTAAGGAATAAGGATTTTGATGTACAAGTTAAGTTTAAATTGCCTGTTGTTTTTGATTGCACCCTGTTTTTGAAGGCATTATTAAGTAGGAGGGGAGCATTGATGTGAATTGTATTCAACTATTGTGAAAGTTTTTGGTTTTTTTTCTTAGTTGCTTTCCAACATTGTCTGTTGAGGGCATTTTACTAACAGTATATTTATTGCGTATTTTAGAGAGCTAGCTTTCTCTGCATGCTTTTATGGATTTCTTTTTCCTGATTTTACTGAGTTTTGACGAGACTCTCCACTGGGCTAGAAAAAGTGGAAGAATGGTATTCCGCTTGAAATATACAAATAACAAACTAATTTTCATTACTGAAGGGATAATGTGGTTATAAGAAATGATCTAAAATTATCAGTATTTTTATAGCGTTTGGTTAGGTAACTTTTCCAAGTGACTGAGTTAGTGATGAAGGTTTACCTATATGATTGTTCTGTGATCGCAGGTAATAAAACGAGCTTTTTGATGAGGACTTTTTTTGAAGATGTTTTTAGGGGGTGGGAAAACTTGATTAAGCGTCTTAGGTCGCAGCTTTAGATTATAAAAAACCAAGTGGCTTCACTGGGTCATGCAGTAGTTGATCAGCGTTTTAGGCAAGAGATCGATGCTGTCGCTTCTTTCCCCTGCTTACATTTTCATTTGAAAGCATTTCTGCTTCTCAGAGTTCTATTAAGAAGCACTTATTGCGAATTGTGACAGCCTTACATTGGAAACCTGAATAGATTATGATGGCGCAGCTTGGAGGAGTGAAGTTTATTTTTGTATGAGGGATTCATCTGTTGTGCATGCGCGAAATCTGGTACAGCATTTGGAGTAAAGCTGTCTCGTATTTGAATTTAAAGGTCAAGAGAAACATCAGAACAAGCTTTGCATTGTGATGCTAATGAATTCGCACTTAAACTTTAATATCGTGATATCGTTCATCACAACTTTTTCTCATTAGACTATCTAGCAACGTATCGGATTTATAAAGGTTGTTATGACTCATGTTTTAAAGGAGACGCAAGCTGCACTCTAGCAGTAAATTTTCAATAAATTTACCGGTTAAATGGAAAAGGACCTATGAGGTCGACAAAGTATAGCAATTCCCAGAAGATGAGTAGAACTACAACTCTATTGATCGGGAGTATTTTGATTTAACATGGAACTGTTCAGTTGAGAATTCACTCGTATTGAACTTTTCAATTGATTTTAGGTTGGGGATTGTAAATGTAAAGGGAGCAGTAAAATAAAGATGGTATTGAGATCATAAACAAGCCAAAGATTAATAATACTAGGAATTTTCTTCAAGAGAATGCTATGTAATAGAAGTTTATAACAACATCGCAATACATGAAGGAATGTTTTTAAATTTTGAAGTTCTTGAAGAAGTCGCACTATCACTGCCTTAAAAAGACGGGTTCTATTTGGCTTTTGGAGAAGGTTGATGAAGTTTAGTCACTCCAGCATGATCATTACACTAAATTTGTTTTCAGGCTCGTTCGCGAAAGCCACTTGCAGGTTTTGCGGTACCCAAGTAAACGGGATGAGCATTAAAGACGATGTTTTTGCCAGGGTATAAAGTTGCTTTTCTTTTTTTTTTTCTTTAACAGGTAGCTTCAAATGCCATCATGAACGACGTGCTTGAAAGTGTTGGAAACTTATTTTGGTTTTTGTCTTTACTGCCGTTCAAAAACTTCTATATAAATCGTAAACATTTCCAGCGGATTGCTATGTGTCGTGTTTGCAACGATCCTCGAGGCGTTTTGAAGCCTGATATAGTCTTCTTCGGTGAGGACCTCCCTGACGAATTTCATGACCGTATGGTTGAAGATCGTCCAGAGGTCCTGTTGATTTTTTTGTCTTTTTTTTTAGTGTGTATGTGTTTTTTAATGAGTGCTTCTTTGTTATGCACTGGTTATTTTTTCCAGGCAGACCTTTTAGTGGTCATTGGGTCGTCGTTAAAAGTCCAGCCTGTTGCATTAATTCCGTTTAGTGTTGAGCCAAATGTTCCCCAGATTTTAATAAATCGGGAATCTCTTTCCAATTACACACCGGATATTGAACTTCTTGGGAATTGTGATGATATTATTGCACAGATAGCTTTGGCTCTTGGTCCTCCTTACACCGAAATTTTTAAAAAAGGTTGCTTTGAAGCCTCTATTAAGAAATTAGTGAGATGAGCGAAAGACTATGTAAACATTCCTAATTTCAATAAATTTTAGGCAGAAAAAGTGCGGAGTTTACGGCAAAAGCGGCAAACGGTGATATTATTCCTGACGATATAATACGCTGTCAACCAATAACCGAAGCTGAATTCAAGGTTTACTTTTTCTATTTTTTTATTTATATCACTTGTTCGTCTTATTTGCTTAATTAGGTTCCTTTGCACTCGTGTAATTTGGAAGTACCTTTTTTTTTATTTCGCGTGAAAGGTGTAGGATGCCAATAATTTTCTTTACAGAAGTTGCTTGATGAACCTAGCCCGAAAAGACCACGACCTGAAGAAGAAGCTGCCTGCATGTGGCAGGCTCGTTATGTCAGTGTTGATTCTAAATTGCCTCCAGATGCATACCTCTTCGTAAGGGATTTTCAAAATTTGGTAGTGCAGTAATTAAATAAGTATTTTTCGTCAAGAAATTGAGTTATTTTCCTGCTTCTATTCCCACGGTTTGTACTTCGTTTGCTATTTATTATTACTGAAGACATTGCTGGGCATAATCTCAAACTTTATTTTTTTCTAGGTTGCCCCTAACAAGAATTTGTTTTCTGGTGCGGAGATGGTGTATGACAAGGACGATGATGTTTTCTGCCAGCTTAGACAGTACCATAGGGAATTTTCTTCATCATCTAGTGAGAGTTCGCCAGATTCCGAAAATATCATTGAAATGACTGGCAGGACACGGTCATTGTCTCTGACAGTTCCAGCAGCTCGAGTAAACACTGTATTCCATCCAGTAAGGCGGACAAATTCATGTCCGTTGTCAGGTGAGAATGCTCTGATTTCTTCTGATCTTCCAGACTGCACATCTGACCTGTCCGACGATGCCCATGTAGTCAAGGAGGCCCCGAATTAGGGTTGATATGTTGTTTCAGTTTTGAAAATTTTAGTGAGGGCTGGGTTGATATTTTTTTAATTGCTCGAAATCGACATTTTTCCAACCAAATTTAGTTGTTCGATTCTAAAGATTTTAATGTTTTTGTACTTTCGTTAAAAATTTTTCTAAAAAAGTTTTTTTTGCTGGAAACGGTAGAGTTTACGAGCCGAAGTTTTATTGCTTAAAGTGTATTTCGACTACTGAGTAAACTGATTTTCCATGTTTCAATTTTTTAATTCTTACCCAATGTTATTGTGTAATCATTGGATCAATTTATGTTTTTTCACATTTTAATCAGTTTGTGTTTCACTCTCACCGATCTCTTTAATTGTCCTTCTTCAAGTGAAAATGTTGTTAGTTTAAATGAGTATTTTCTGTCAGATATTTTTTAAATTAATTCCTACTTTAAGTTGGAGGATTTTTTTTTTTGTGAAATTGCTATCATTGTGATTTGTTTAATTTTTCAAAGTTGCATCGTGTGTTATAATTTTTTGGAGTTCAAAGTCTTCTGGGATAAGTTTTAGTTCTCCAAATCCGTTACAGTGGAGGGCTTTCTCTTATAAAAAAAAAAAAAAACTGTTGCTAACGGAACGTTCAAACTTTGGTTTTGTCGACAAGCACGTTTGTCATTTTAGTAACTGCTTTTGAGTGTTGGAATTTTCACTCTTATTGTGATATCTTTAGGTATTTTTTGTTCAAGACTAATTGGTGCTTTTTAATATGTATGTGTATGAGATAAATGTCTAATACTTTTTTGTCTATCGTGATGCGCACGCACTGTGAAGCTTCAGCGGTAGTATTATCCGATTTCATAGGAACTTGGTTTTTTTTGTTGTTAAGCGGAGGGGAGCGCAGATTGCCACTGCTTTTTTAATTATTCTGTATTTGACTTAAGACTACTGAAAAGTACTACTCCTATGAGTAGGAATTATCCGATTTTTTCTCTGCTTACCCGTTGTCCACAACGTTTTACATATTTTTTTTCCCATTGAGCAGATGGAGATAAAGGTTGTTTAGTTGTATTATTTGCAGTTGAGACAGTGACAGTGAATGATATTTATTAGAACTGAGAAACGAAGGTTTTCTGAACATTATAATTCGTAAAGGTATAATCCTACTAGGGAGCAGTCTCCACACGTCTGCGAATCATAGCATTATTCTTGGGAATGTTGCGGAAAAGAACAATAGGAGGATTTGGAAGTTACTTTGGAAAAAAACAATCTATTTATAAACAATTTACGCTTCTAACCCGGCAGTTTACGCCACTTGTCATAGAAGTGACGGTAGAAGAAAATGAGAATATAAATTTAGAAGAAAACAGCAGGTAAAGGGTATGACGCCACAATTTTACAAACGTTTAACAACGATGGACGTAAGCAGCAGGAGGTGGAGAAAGCAGCGAGCTTGAACTTTTTGTCGTAATGGTTTACGGTACCTTACCGTATCGGTTCCGCCTAAATGGACCTTTTCTCGCTGCTGCTCGCACATGCTGCTGTTCAAAAAATAATTAATCAAAACAATGTGGACAATATTTTTTATAAGAATGTTTTCCCGCACTACTGGAATGTTTTTTGGTAACCGCGATGTTGTGTTGTTTTAAAGTTTTGAATATCTTCTCCATGTACTGAACCTTGCAAACTGTTTACAGCGGTAGTTTAATATTTTTGTTTAGGGAACCGCATCCCCAAACAACAATCAGTGCAGATAATATTAGGCAGACTAATGATACAGAAACGATAGATGATATGAACCAAATTTCTGACATAC